AATGGCTTTTGAAATATTGATTTGAAGTAGTCCACAAAATGGGTTTTATTTTTCTTTTATATTACAACCACTTAAACAGGGGAAAAGTTGTAATTACAACCACGTGATGACTTAATTGATCACGTGAATAGGGGCTTGAGAAGGAAGCTTGAGGACATGAACGAAGGTCTATCTTCATCCCAAATCAAGTTGACAACTAAGGTGGAAGCTACAGAGGATTACTAGAAGCCATCGAAACCCAGACATAGGAAGATCTTATGATAATGACAGCCTTCAACGGAACCGAAGAGGAGGATTCAGAAGTTGAATCTCTTATTGGTAGTTTTTATGCAAATTTTCAGAAGGAAGAAGAGGTCTTTGGTACTGAAATTTTGTTTGTGGAGGAGGAGAGTCCGGGCTACTACAGTCTTCCCACTTTTGAGGCAAACTGTAGGGGTGGTGGTGAAGACAACTTGCAGCATCCTATCATTAGGGAGGAATCTGAATCCTTTGACAAGGAAGAACCCAGACCTCTGTGATATAAAAACAGGGTGTCCACAAGACGTTGGTTGGGGATCTCCATGGGCTAAGTATCTCCACGCCACCAAGGGATGAGGCGCAATCTCTTGAAGTTGGTCTTGGGACAGAGCAGGATCTGAAAGAGCTTCTAGAACAGAATCACAACTCAGAAGGAGAGTTGGGCCTTTTTTGATACCTTTTGAAAGGCTACACAGCGGGGGGTAGCCCATCCCCCAACCCAGGTGCAGGCAGGATTAGATCCCAAGTCTACGCTACAACCAGAAGGAGACCTTACCAACCAGCTGGTTGGCACCTTGCTCAGATTCCCCATGCTCAGGTTCAAGGTACAGATTGTGATTCGTATTTGGTTTCTAACCCCCCTCGTGTTTCTGTGGCTGTTGTTTCAGGTCTCCATCCAGTTTCAGTGCCAATAGCCAGTGAAGATAGGGTTGGGGAAACAGAAGGAAGACAGAAGGAAAGAAGGGAAAAGAATTGTCAGGAGGATAAGGATCAGGGGGGAAGGATTTGGGGGCTAATTGAAGTAATACTTGGAGATCTGAAAAATAGAGAATTGGAAGGGGAAGATGTGATACGAAAGTCTAAAAAAGAGGAATAGAGAATTCGAAGAAAGAGACCAAATCAGCACATCTCTCTTCAATAGTGTGTGTTATGCAAAGCCAACAGTGAGACTTGCAATCACTTATTAATCTCCTGTTCTTTCTCTTCTTGCATTTGGGTTTGCTTTCCTTCTTTGTTTGGGTGCAGGTGGACTCCCCCGACTAATATGCGAGGGCTATTTGCTTTTACCTTTTTCAATTTGCCAAAGAAGAGGGGTAAGATGTTGAGGAGATGCATAAGAGCTACCACGTGCTGGGTATTATGGGAGGAAAGGAATCTCAGAATATTTTCAAAGAAATAAATAAGCAAAACTGATATTATTGAAAACATCATGATCAAGGTGGCTCATTGGGTGAAGACAATGGATCTTTTTTCCTCATTTTCAGTAAACGACATCATGCTCAATTGGAAAGAGGTGGCTGATTCAGCTCCTGTTAACACTCATTACCACTAGTTGGAGCCCTCCAAAGAGAGGTTTTATCAAATTAAATCTTGACGGGAGTTGTTTGAGAAACCCAGGTAGTTCTGGAATAGGAGTTTTCAGTGATGAAACTGGAAAAGTGGTAGCTTTATACTCGGGACCAATTGGAGAAGGAGATTCTCTAAGAGATAAGATATTGGCAGTGGTGGAAGGAGTACAAAGAGCAATCTCTATCAATGTTAAGAAGCCGATAATTAAGGGAGACTCAAAACTGGTGGTGAACTGGTTGCAAAATAAAGATCCAAGTCATTGGATGTATAATAATGGAAAGAAAAAGATTAAGAAGTTAACACAAAATATGGGGGTGAAAGTATTTGTGTTCGGGGAGAGATAAAAGGGGTTATCTCTCACTGTTCATTTAATGTACTCACTTTAATGTACCATTTTAATGTCTTTTAATGAAAAGTTTCAGTTATTGATCAAAAAAATATCTAAACCTCCATTAACAAATATAAAACCCGCATCAAAATGTCTAAAATCATACTTGATCAAACTCTAGAGTTTCCATGTATGGGAGGATGAGCTGGTAATATGGTTTTCTGACATCAGCAGTTGGTATATAGTCCCTTATCTACAATGTGCTCTAATACCAACTTGTCAATAAAAGAACCTTATAAGAGAAGAGAAAGAAAAAAGATAAGAGAAAGAGAAAGAGAAAAAGGATCAATGGAGAAAAGAAGAAAGAAGAGAACAGATTTGAAGAGAGGCAAAAAGTATTGTGTCTCCCTCATTGGTATTCATACTAATACATGATATTTACATTTAACTATCATTAGCATAAAATAAGAGTAGACAAAAATGCCCTTAGATAGGTGCCTCTCAATAAGACCTTTAACTATTATAGAAACCCCAACCACAAAACAAATTAAACCAGATAACTGACATGTTGCAACTACAAACTCCTATCAAAAACCCAACAACTACTTCTCCAGTGAGCTACTGATACAATTACAGGAGGAGGCTAACAAGTTCTAAGATTCTATGAAAAATGGAACCACTACAAGACACGTAAGAAGAGAGGATGACGCCATGGATACATCTTAGTACACATTTACCAAATTGGCAATGATTTGAACTCTGTAAATGTTTACCGATTTAGCAATGTAGTGAGATTTCCAAATTTAGCTTCAATTAGGACTTTCCTTTTGGTTCAGATTTGGTTGGTTTCTATTAAGGAGTAGCCAGCTAGATTAGGATACTTTCTTGTAGGAGGCATAAGGGTGTAAACATAGGCTATATAAAAGTAGATCACTACTATAAAAGCAATTGAATTGAATTCTCTCAGTAATTATTCAATGAAGAACTATTCTTCTTCTTGTTTTGGTTTAAGAACTTTTCTTTACAGCTTCTCTGAACATGAGTTGTTAACTATTTCCTTCAATAATTCATGCCACTAATTCTCTCTCCTCTCTAATGCTCCATTAATTGCCTAAAATTAATGTGATCACACTACCAACAACACCAAGAATAGCAAAACTATGACCAGAACTACTGTAGACAGGATTTTTTTAAAATTTTTTTATGAAATTGTAGACAGGATTTAGTTCTTTAACTGATCTGCCACATCTATCCTTACAACAGACTCAACTAGGTGGACCCCCCCTTCATGACTCTACTTCAATATCAAACTGAAGTAGTGACAATTTTCTATCTCACGTTACTGATTACTGATCAAAAAATATGTTTTATCCTCACAAGCACAAGGGGAACCTTCCTAATCCAAACAGGAATTTCCATTCCTCCATGACAACAATAGATGCATTCAACTCACCATTGCCAGACTAAGAATCCCTCTCTTCCAACATACAAAAATAATCAATAGCTCTTTGATGGCCCCCAAGAAAGAACGCACCCTGATTTCTAACTTAACTCTACTGATGTTTCAGTGGTCTCTAAAACTGAGTTGTGTTCAATTTTGATTACTTTGTCCAAACTGTCTCCTCCACCTCATATTCACTATGCATTTGAAACTCTCAGCAGGAATCCCTTCAAATAATGCAGAAAAGTGCTATCTTCTTACAAATGCTGCAACACCTCTCCACTCACCCTATTCGGATCATAACCTTCAATTTGCACCTTTGTCTCTGTTTAACATAATGGAATTTTCCAACCACCAAACATGTCTCAGAACCAGATCCTGAGCGTTGTCATTGATTCACTATCACCAGGTCATTACCATGGGTCCCCATTGCCCACCTTTAAGACATTTATCAGGTCATCAGTAGATAACAATGCAAGCAATGAAATTATTCTTCACCAAAATACCTTTACCCCCACCTCTGCTCCAGTACTTTCATGCAACATACAGTTTGTCTCTGAAACACCTTTAGGATAGAAAACTTTCACCATCAATGTCTACCCTTCTTGCTCTACCCAGAGAGCAAGGGCCCTTGCCACCTCCCCACTCTCTTTCTAGTTTAGAATCACTAACAACTAATTTCAACTAAAGAGCCTTTGGTGCACTGTATTTCAACTTCGGCCAAACTTAATTCCAGAATAGTTGCAACTAAGGGAACAATTAACAATATGAAAAAGAAACAAAATAATCATCTTCATCATCATCATCATCATCTAAGCCTTGTCCCAACTATATGGGGTCACCAACATAAATCATGTCTTGCCATTCCGTTCTATTCAGTGTCATATCCTTCGTTAAATAATGGGCGCTTAAATCATTTCTTATTACTTCCACCCAGATCCTGTTTGGTCTTCCTCTAGCTCTTCTAGACTTTTCAACTTGTAACAGATTACTTTTTCTAACAGGTGCTCTAAATGTTATTCTACAAAAAAGAAATTAAATAAAAAATATTTTTCAGAACTTAATAAAACAACATAAAAACCACTCAGAAAGTTACAAGTGGGAAAAATATTAGCATATTATTCATAAGAAGATTTCCACGTATAAGATCAACCAATTTCTGCAGAAAACTTCAGGTGGGTAATACCTATAGCAATCATTAATAGATAAAATTCAATGGACAAAAAAGCCACTTCCAGTGGCAATCATTAAATTTAACCAACTACTAGCGCGAAATTATTTCTATTTACACATTAAAGATATTGTAATGCCAAAAAAAAATTGAAATGTATTCAAGAATCTTTCCAATCTAATTCTATTTACAAATCTACTTGCGACGATAGAGAAAAACAGAAAGCAAATCTCAATTTAAAAATAGCAAATCGAAAGATAGTAACGTACAGATTGGCAGAAGGTCCTTTGTTGCAACAAATTCTGGCCGCGAGGGATGCAATCACGCCGGCCATAGTGAAAATTAAGCTAATTATCAAGAAGCCCATGTCAATTCGATCTCACCGCAACCAAGCAGAAATTTTCCGAGACGAAAATACGAATTTGAAGCTTGCCTGGTAATTAACGGAATGAGAATTGAAAGAAAAGCAAAAACTACCTCCCTGATCTGCATATGCAAGAATAAAATGAATACTTAAACAAATACTTGATTACACGTACAATTTAGGGACGGATGCAAACTCTAATTGCGCAATGGAATAAACAAAATTCGTAGCCTTAGAAAAGATAGTGGAGAATTGATAAAGAGGGAGAAAGAGATTGAGAATTGACCTCATGATCTGCTCTAATGTTCTGGAAATTTCAATCTACTCTCTCTCTCAAGTGAATTCGAACCGTGGCCGTGGGCCGACGTGTATTTCACAAAATCGCATGCGGTGTGATAGCGTATTATACCATCTTTCCACGTGTTTCAGAAGGATCGGTTCTTTATCAAGCGAAAGTGAAGCGAAGGAGCACAATTTGAATTCGACCAAACTGGTCCTATTTTTTTTAGGGGAAATTTGTCAATTTATGATTATTTTGATTAATTATTTTTAAATTTTATTTAGTTAATATTTCATTTTATATTTTATCAATTAATTTTAATTTTAATTTTAATTTTAATTTTAAAATTATTAATTTTGTAATTTTAAGAAATTTAAATTTTTAATTGTTTTTCTTAATTAATAAAATATTACATTATCATCGATCTGTAAAGTGATGGTCGATGGTCGATTCTTCAAATATCCGAGGCAATGGTGGTTAGAGAGACTCCAATCTGCTCCTCACAAAGTGTCTCACATCAACATCATAGCATGTTTTAGCCGTTCATCCGAAACATCTCCTATATTTGTATTTATTATTCATGCAAGATGTTTTTAATAAGGTTTTCGAATTGTCATTGATTTGGATGGTCAGATCATTTGGCCTGGAAACCATTTAGGCAATCGGTTTTGTTTTACCTAAAATCCATTTTTTGGCCAGAAACTGTTAAAAAAGTCAATAATTCATTGACTCATATGATCGAACCATCGATCTATCGACCCGTATAATGATTTTTGACCATTTTATATTTTTAATTATTTTTTAAACTTTTTTTAATTTATTTATTAGAATGAACATCTGTTTGAACCAAACGAGCTCATTTTTAAAACATTGATTTCTAATACAGGGTGGGATGTGATTATAAAGTCAGTGCGGCGCACCGAGGAACAGATTCCGATGGGAGGAGAGAGAGAAAGAGGAGGGGGAATGAGAAGAGAGATAATATGAATCATATCCCTTAATAATGGGTTTTAATGGATATTTGTTAATAGGTCCTTATTATTATAATGTTTTGGGCCTCCCATACTTTAGAATTTCCCCAGATTTTTTTGCCCATTTTATCCCAATTCCAACATTAAAAGAAGTTTGATGCAAATAACACTATTTTAAGTGAATATCGGGCCTAAACCGGTCCGATTTTATTCGGGTTCATATTGGATCAACCGAGTTAATATACTTCTGTAACTCTTACCGTCTTATTGTAGCCCCCTGCTCGACTTTTCTTGCTTGCACTTCACAAATTTAAGTTCAGCTTTGAGTTTGCAATCTCATCGGTTCGCGCTTCAATAAAATTAATCGTAACATTTTAAAGAATTTTTGCAAAAATCAATCCTCAAAAATTCTAAAAAAATTACAAGAAATTAGCCCCTAAAATTTTAAAGAATTTTTACAAAAAAAATGAGCTCCCAAATTCTAAAGAATTTTCACAAGAAATTAACCCTCAAATTTCTAAAGAGCTTTTACAAGAAATTAACTCCCAAAATTCTAAAAAAAAATCACAATAAATTAACCCCAAAATTCTGAAAAAAACTTTAAGCAAATTAATCCTCAGTGTTGTGGGGTTAAGAAGTATCGGATACTATTAAAATATTGTATGGTGCACCAAATATAAACATGTGTTAGCAATGGGTTATAAGGGTGCAATGTTTCTTGTGAAGTTCACATCTCCGCCCCACAATGCCCCATAGAACATCCCCGTTGTGTATTGGAAACATCTCTCGATTAGGGGCGGAGCTAGGATTTTTTATTGAGGGGGCCAAAACCTAGAAAACATGGATAGGGGGCAAAAGTTAGGAAACATGAGTAAAGGGGCTAAAATACAAGTGAAACTAAATAAATTAATACACGGCGGGGATGTTCTGTGGGGTGTTGTGAGGCGGAGATGTAAACTCCTTGTGTATGTTGACAATCATAGAAAGTGCCATGGTAGTAGTTTATAGTGGGTGTATAAAATTACATGAAATAATTAGTGATGTGTAGTATGAGGTTGAATCGTGAAGCTAGAGTAAGGCCATGTTTGGGAGTGCTTATTTGAGCCATTAAGCAATTATTGGTATTTGGGAAATAAACCTAAAATAAGTGTTTATTTTAAAAATAATGACTTATTTTTTAAGCCCAAATTTCTAGTTTTTTAAAGTGCTTATATAATAAGCACTTATTCAATTTTTCTCTTCCTAAATTATCCCTAGTTGAATTTTAAAATACCACTTATAAAGTTATCCCTAATTGAATTTTATAGAAGTACTTTTATGAAGGCACTTTTACGAAAGCACTTTATAAAAGTACTTTTATGAAAGCATTTTTACAAAAGCACTTTTAAGAAAGTACTTTTATGAAAGCACTTTTAAGAAATTACTTTTATGAAAGCACTTTTACGAAAACACTTTTATGAAATTACTTTTGTAAAAGTACAAAGTGTACTTTTACAAAAGTGTTTTTGTAAAAGTACTTTCATAAAAGTGTTTTATAAAAATAATTTAATAAAAGTGCTTTCAAAGGGTATATTTTGAAATTTTTAAAGAAAATGAAGGACAAAATAGTCATAAATGCTTATTTAAGTGCTTATTAGAGAAAAAAAACTACAAAACACCCAAATGCCCAATACAAAATAAGTGCTTATTTTAAAAATAAACACTTTGAAAAGTTGGGGTGCCAAATGCAAATAAGTGCTTATTCGAATAAGCACTTATTTTTAAGCACTTATTTTTAACTTAAACATTTCCAAACATGGCCTATTAAACATGTAAGCATATGGATTGTAAGCCATTAAGGTAAACTTGTGAGGCACAAATTATGATGAAGCATTTGATCATATGTGATGCTAAGTATATTTGCATGTTAATAAGTAAAGAGAGGCATGTTTTTACATCAATGTATAAGTTTTTGGATCCGAATTTAGGCCATGTTTGGGAGTGCTTAAAAACAAGTGCTTATTTGAGCCATTAAGCACTTATTGGTATTTGGGAAATAAGCCCAAAATAAGTGCTTATTTTAAAAATAAGGACTTGTTTTTTAAGCCTAAATTTCTAGCTTTTTTTAAGTGCTTATACAATAAGCACTTATTCAATTTTTTTCTTCCTACCACTTTATAAAATTATCCCTAGTTGAATTTTATGAAAGCATTTTTACAAAACCACTTCTATAAAAGTACTTTTATGAAAGCACTTTTACAAAAGAACTTTATAAAAGTACTTTTATGAAAGCACCTTTATAAAAGCATTTTTGTAAAGTAATTTTTGTAAAAGTGCTTTCATAAAAGTACTTTCGCAAAAGTGCTTTCATAAAATGATTTTTATAAGTGTTTTCGTAAAAGTACTTTCTTAAAAATGCTTTTATAAAAGACTGAGATAGGGAGCCAAAAGAGATCAAAGAATGAGATTTAAAGGTGCCTAGGTTGATTCGACAGGGACATGCGGTAGATCATAGGGTGAGAACCAATTGTTAGCTTGTGCAAACCACAACTATTATGTGGTTTGCACAAGCTAACATGTACTACATGCATGGCATTCTTGTAGAACTCACATGCTTGTATGAAGTTTTTGTCCTTTATAAGTTTTACTTCTATTATGTGGCTTGGCATTTACCTGTATTTTGTGCTAGAAGCCTACGACTTACTATATATTAAGGAGGATGATTGTAGTTAGCTTCTGGTGCATAACCACGGTTATCCCATGGTAGTATAGTCATTGTAGTGCGTCCACAGTTATTTTATGATATCATAATCGCAATCTTGTGACCATGGGCATCATGTGTCGGTATGATTGCGATATATAAGTCCATCCCCTTACATTAGCCCCCTGCATAATAAAGGGCTTGCTCATTATTGATCAATAAATTGGGTCTGATATTAATGTTTTAATACAAACACATTACCCCCCCCCCCCCAATTCAAACAAATTTTAGGGAAGAAAATAGCCCCTGAATTATGGGTATCAACCCCTAAAATTATGGGGAGTCCCACGGATACATAGGCGTGTGTGTCAATCTCCAAGAGGCCAGGATTATGGGGAATACCATGGGCATAGGAATCAGCCTCTAGCCCACGAGCATGTGTGTTGTTTAAGGCTATGTTTGGTTTGGAGAAAAAGGTAAGGAAAAAAAAAGGAAAAGATAGAAAAACCTATACAAGATTTGTAAAAGTTTCTTAACTTTCCCTTTCCCTATTTTTTCCTTCCAACCAAACATAACCTAAGTGAATTCCCTTGTCCTATGTCAGGAATTTTGAAGCATAATGATGGTTATGAACTGTCAGTATCAATGTTGGTCATGTTGCTGCAGACCTCTCTATCAATGGAGTCTTGGGAAGACTCTGTTGTTATGAATCCATTGTGAGAGGATCCTATTCTTGTTTTTGAATATTTAGCCACTAAAAGCCAATCGAGATGGTCTATTTTCAGGAGTTGACTATGCCTCAATGAACGGTGGAGATACATTTGAAGATCTATGAATCTCGGTGTGAGCAATTCAAGCCATGGTGTTTGGTGATACTAATTCCTCTGTATATTGGCTACCTTCATGCACAGGGATTTAGGGTGTTCATAAAAAACCAAAAAACTGAACTGAACCAAAGAAATTAATCTCAAAATCTGATTAACCAAATTGATTGGTTCATTTTGGTTTTTTTTTGTTAACTGAAGGACCAGTTCGGTATTCAGTTAACCTATTAGAAAACTAGTAGTTAACCGAACCGACCAATATATATGAAAGTTTTTATATTATATTATTATATATATATATAAATTTTTATGTTAAAATTATTATTTCATAAAAATTGTTATACTGTAAAAGTTTTGAAATTTTTATATTATAATTTTGTTTTATTTTATAAAATTTTTATGTTATAGTTTATTATTTAAAAATAAATAAACATTTCCAATTTCATTTCCCCTCTCAATCAATCTCACATGCCTAAATCGACATTTCCGATTTTCCCTTCCCCCTTTTCCTTTTCCTCTTGTTTTTGAAAGAACCCAAACCCTAGGCTCAAGTTTCTTCCCCAATCTCCCCCATCTCTTTCAAAATTCTCTTTGTTACTCCCCCAATCTCTTCCATATCTCTTGGTCTTTCATCCTTCCTCCCCCAATTTTACCCATCTCTGATCTC